TAGAGGACTTGCTTTTAGAAAGAACTAAAGAATTTGTAAGAAATAAAGCACTTTAGGAAGAAGGTAGACAACATCAGCATGGCAAGCCAAACTACCTACCATGACCAACATACAAACCTATTACATAAATTGTTAAAAAGCCCATTTATATATGTAATTTTTTGTTGTTGTTTTAAAGCTTTCAATTCTGTTAATTGTGATGACATTCTGATTATGGTTAACGAAAACATGACATTTAAAATCAGAATATTATGCCAAAAAAAAAGAACATTTTATTATACAGAAATGCAGTTGGTTGTTATCTTGAAAAGTTTCTTTTAATCTGACAAACAGTCTTTTTCAGAAAGCATATTCTAATTTATTGAGTAGGATTGTAAGCATACAGTTTGATCCACTTTAATTGGAGCCATGTGTTTTAGATGAATCACCTTATTCTCACTGTTAAGTACGGTGGAGGATCTGAAATGCTGTGGGCCTAGTTCTCTTTCAAAGTTCTAGAGAACTTTGCTAGACATCATGGCATTGTGACTGAATATAGTTGAATTATGCCAAGTTATTTAAAGGATTTTAGGAATGTTCTCCAGGGGAGCCAATAATTATCTTACATGTCCACTGGTTCAGGGTTTAACTGGAGGGGGAAACGATATCCTATACTTGAGATAGTAATCTGAGAGCTTATAGTCCTGCTCAGAAATTGTCTTGCAAAAAAAAAAAAAAAAATCCCGGACAAGCCCCCAAAATATTGGTCTTCTCTCTGATTGCTAAGCCCTCACCCTGCTGGAGCGTGTACTGAGAACTGAACAGACCTGGAAGTGAGCGATGGTCTTCCCAAAGGCTTTCCTCTGCAGAACGTAGTTCCTGGTCCCCTCGAACATAAACTCACAGCTGGATATGGCCATGTCAGCGATCAACAGACGTTCCTGGTAGCAAAATCCATCACTGAGGTACAGGAGGACGTGTGTGTGTGTGTGTGCGTGCGTGTGCGTGTGCGTGTGTGTTCAGACCTGTGGCAGCTCATTCATCAGGTAGTAGAAACCCTTGTTGAGTTCTCCCAGCAGAGCACTGGCTGGGAGACGCACGTCCTCAAAGAACAGCTCCGCTGTGTCCTTTCAAACAGATTCAGACCAATTCAGTGTCCTGAGGTTGAGACGTTTTCCAACATGAAGTAAAAACTGTGCTACCTGTGCTTTCAGGCCGATCTTCTCCAGCTTCCGGCCTTTCTGGAAGCCCTTCATGCCGTTCTCCACCAGGAACAGACTGATCCCATGGGCCGCCGTTTTCGCCTCACGGTTGGTCACTGTGACGACCACCACCACGTCCGCCATCCAACCGTTGGAGATAAACACCTGAGAGGAAGGAAGCGGTTGAAGCCGATGGCGCCTTCCAGAGGAACAGCAGTGGCTTTACCTTGTTCCCGTTGAGGATCCAGTCACTGCCGTCCTTCTTGGCATATGTCCGCACTCCCTGGAGGTCGCTGCCATGGGGAAACCGACCAGTTAACACCGTGTCTCACTGGTCAATCTGTGATATAATAAAGGAAGTGGGACTGGCGTCCTCACCTGCCTGCACCCGGCTCCGTCATGGCGATGGCGCCGATGTGTTTCCCAGCAGTCATGGAGGGAATGAAGCGTTCGATCTGTTCCTTGCTGCCGTAGTTTACGATGTACGGCATGACGACGTCTGAGTGTAGAGCGAAACCCGGCCCGGTGCAGTTACTGTACATTCTGAGGACAGATGGTCAGCAGAAAAAAATTCATCTTTATTCAGCAAAATTACAGCATTTTCAAAACTCCAACTGCAATACATTCAGAGTAGGAAGTATGGACTCACTGCTCCTCCCAGGTGATAGCAGCAGAAAACGTGTCCCCTCCAATGCCACCGTGCTCCTCTGGGATCATCACTCCCAGGAGGCCTTGCTCTCCAGCCTTCTCCCACAACTCCCGGCTCACCTGACCTGCCTTTTCCCACCTGGGAGCACAAACAGGAAGTCAACGGGAGGAAAACATCTCATGCTGATGTTGGGTTCCTGCAGCCACCTACTCCTTGTGGTGTGGCACCACTTCCTCTTGGAAGAAGCGGCGGACGCTTTGCCTGAAGATGTCGTGGTCCTCATTGAAGATGCGCCGTGTCCCGATGTCCATCAGGGTTTTGGCGGTGGACGTCTCAGGTCGGATGGACGCAACCGTTGACCCCTGCTGCTGGGCCTGAGAGTACTGCTTCCTGTTCAAAGACACAGAACGGAGTCCGTTGAAAGAAAAAGTTTCCCCACAGCATGATGTTGCCACTACTACTTTTGCTTAAGGTTCAAAAAGTTTAATTTTGAAGCAGAAAAATTCTCCATATTTTCCTTCCACTTTTTTGTGTTGAACTTTTTAATAAAATACACTGAATTTTGCATTTGTATCGTTATAAAGTTTTAAGGCACTGATAACACCTACTGACGTCACAGCTAACTTTGAAAGAAGTGTGTCAAAGGTTTTTGTGACCCATTTACGGCCCAACTCTGAATTAAATAGAATATTTTACACTTTTGTCACAGTGTGACGTCAAGTGTGACTGCAGACTGCAGTAAAATAAATGATATATTTTTGCGTGAAAAATAGATTTTTTTTCCTCCACAACATATACTTTGCTCCGGGTCTGTCTGGCAATGACTGAGAAAAGAAGTGACGCGTTGCACCTGGCAGCAGCTGCAGACAACATCTGTCCACCTCGTCCAGAGACATTTCTAACTCCAGAAAAGCCCGACTGAACAACCTTCCTTAGAAACATCTTCAAGCAACACAAACACGGAGAAGCGAGAAGAGCAGAGATTTTTTTTCTAGCTCCTGTGAAGACAGATCACTCGGTCGCTTTAGGACTCCAGTCCTGGACGGCCACTGTCCTGCAACTTTTAGATGCGTCTCTGCTGCACCACACCTGAATATAATAATTAGGTCATTAGCAAGGCTCTGGAGCCATTTCATTCCAGCGTTTTGTACCTGTGGCACATCTAAAAACTGCAGCACAGTGGCCCTTGAGGACTGGAGTTTGACACCCCTGGTTTATGCAATAAGTGCGACAGAGATTTTTAGTTTTTTTTTTATTAATGTTTTACTTAAGTTAACACACATATTTAGAGCTCGTTAAGAAAGTAAGTTAACGAACATTTAATGTCTTTTAGCATCTGTCCACAAAACAAGAGCAGAGTGAGACCTCTTGTCCTTCTGTATTCCTTATGATCCTTCTTTTAGTAAAAAAAAGAAAAACAGTTCTTACGCCGTGCCGTGCTGCAATCTAGTGGTAAAACCTAAACGTCCCTATTTTGGATCTGACTTTCAAGTTATTAAAATATAAATATAAAAATAAATATACATGTGTACATAGATTGATGTTATATGTGAAGGTGTTTAAAGTGACTTTGAAAATAAATAGTTTTGTTTTTTCTGTTTACTTTATACACTGTATTTTTTTCTTTTTATTACCACAAGGGGGCAGCTGTTTTCAACTTTAATAGGGATGAATTTGATAAAAAGAGGTGCTCCTGGTATTAAAAAAATAGCTGAAAGTGGAATCTAAAATGATTCTGAGAACCAAAAAATATGTTCTACTGCATGACAATAAGTACACAAAAATATTTATTGATATAAAAACAAAATTAAATCAAATTTGTGTGAAATCATTTTCTGGACAAGAAGATGAACCTTTGCCATTGGTTCAAGAAAAACATGGAAATTCCTGAGTTCCAAAAGTCAAAAAATTGCAAGAGAAAACTGAGAAATTTTGAGATAAACCTCAGGAAATTTCTAGCAAAAAACATGGAAATTTCTGACTTTCAAGAAAATTTCAAAGATTAATCTCAACATTTCAAAGACATTTAAAATGTAAACTCACATCCTGCAGACAGAAACCATCAAATTGGCTGAAACAAATATAATCATGAACATGACTGTGTGGTAAACGAGTAACTGGAGTTTTCACAATCGCTCCACCAGATCGTTCCTGCCGATGCTCTGTAATGTCCTCTTCACAGCTTGAAGAACTTCTTCAAGGCTGTACTGATGCAGCAGCTGGTCCACCACCTCCTCTCTCGCTGCAGACTCTCTCACTCTGAAGCCACTGCTGTGCGGTCCGTTCTTCAGGAACCACTTAAACCTGCTGAACTCTTCCACATTCAGCTCATCCAGGATGTTCAGCAGGTCAACATGGAGGTCAGGACCCTGGGATTAAAACAGTAAGTTTCCATCAACAGAAAGGGACAAGTCGATTGGTTTATTTATCCACCTGTCATTTAGAATGCTTGAGTGAAAGGGCGGTTACTGGAATCTTATATTTCAATATTTTGCATGAATAATCAATCAATCCTCTTTATTTAGACACAATTATGGCCCATAAACAGACAAAACAAGAACAATAAAAAGACGAAAAATAAAAAATTTAAATATAATGAAATAATCAATCACTGACATATAAACTAATCCGCCACTGACCCTCACTGAGCTTTGAACAGGATTGGTCAATGTCTGAATGATGCTGTTTGCAGAGTCTGTTAATCTACACATACATCTGTGCATAATGTTTCGAAGCACAGCAGCACAAGTTGGTACATTGGCATTCACAAACATCTGACTGGCACTTCTCCATCGGGGCACCCTAAGCAGCGCCCTCATGCCATCATTATAAGCAACCTGAAGTTTATTCATACTGCTTTTCCTGTAACGCCACCACATTGTATACATTGGAGTACAGTATGCTTTAAAAAGTGCAATTTTGACAGATGCTGAGAACGTCCAGAGGAGAATATTAGCTTGTACATATTAAGTACAACGCTGCCTGTAAATGTCTCTATCATCAGACAGATCAGCGGTGATGTAATGTCCCAAATATTTGACCTCCTCACTGGAGGATGCTGCCGTCAGTGAAGTCAGGAGGCAGCATCCTCCTGAAGTCAGGAAAAGATCATTTAGCGTCTTATTTGCTCTTAACAATCATGATGTTGCTCTTTTTTGCATTGTGTTTAATATCATGCTGTAACCTATACTGAGAGCAAACCTTTAACAGACCAGCACTATATGGACAGAATATCACAAGATCGTCAGCGTACATCAGGTGGTTGATGGTTCCATTACCAACCCGACAGCCAGTCCTACATTGATTCAGCAGCTTAGATAAATCATCCATATACAGGTTAAAAAGGCAAGGAGATAAAATGCTGCCTTGTCGCACACCATTACCCACATAAAAAGAAGATGATACAGAGTTTCCCCATTTTATATACATATTCTGGTGAGCATACCAATACACTAATATTCTTAATAAATATTTCGGAACTCCTCTCTCATGCAATTTATGAAACAATTTTTCATGATTAACATGATCAAATGCTTTTGATGCATCTATATAACACATAAAAATTGTGGTTTTATGTCTCTTGTATAAATCTAAAATTTCCTTGAGAGCAAAATTGCACATATCGCTGCCAAGTTTTGGTTTAAAACCAAACTGATCATCAGATGTGGCTCTAAACGTCTCAATTCTGCTTAACAGAGCCTTCTCCAAAACTTTCAATAAGGTACTGGCCAGAGCTATGGGCTGATAGTTGTCTTTGCTATTTATTTTACCAGCCTTATCTTTTACAATAGGCACTAAAATCACAGACAACATAGAGTTTAGTAAAATGCCATAAATTAAAAACCCGGTGAAACAAATAGCCAACAAAGGAAAAATTTTCCTACTTGCAAATTTTATGTGCTCAGTAGATATCTTGTTCACACCATATGCCTCATTATTTTTCAACTTCTTAACAATGTCACTAACTTCTTGTGAAGCAATAACAACATCTTCATGCATATCTATGTTGTCCATCACAAAGGGATTACTCTTCCTACAATTAAAAAGTTCATAACAGTGTTTCTTTCATAAATTAATAATTTTGTCTGGTCCAGTTACACCATCAATATTCATTGGCAAGGATGCTTTTAGATTGTTAACTCTTTTTATTTCTTTCCAAAATTCAGAAGGACTGTTGAGTTGTAATTTTCTTGCTAGTGACTCTGATTTAAGTGCATTTTCATTCCTCTTAATAAACCGTAAGGCATATTTAAAGTTAGCATTTGATCTCTTCTTGTAGTCAAATACAGAACCATGTTTAGACAGAATAAGAACATCTATCTTCAGATTTGTCATTTTGGTTGATTACTTCCATCCTTTGAGAAAAGAGAAGGTTGTTTGTTTAAAAATCTGAATTATTCAGCCTCCTAAAAAATGCCCAACCACTTTATTGTTTCCTTATGAAATCTTGGTTTTATGCTCTTCTTGTTAGTAAATCTGAACTAATTATGAACTGAGAACCTCACCTCTGACTGGACTGTGACACTTGATGAGACGTCATCTTGTGAATGATCTGGACAGAAAGAGCAGGACAGAAACATTGGTCTAATAATCTGCTAAAACAACTCAAAGGCATAGAGATCATGAAATGCAGAATAGTTCAAAAATAATGATGAGCTTTCAGTTCCTGGACTCGGTCTGATCCTTCTGTCTTCTCATCGCTACAGGCTGGAGAGACGCTAGCTAGGTGAAGACTTTACCTGTTAGATCGACGTCGTACTCCCAGACCACCATGTCTGCTTCATCTTTGATTATTATCACCACTCCCTCTGTGTCGATGGGAAGACGGATCTCAAATGTTGGGTGGTATTGATTTCCAAAGTTTAGGTCAAACTCTGCGCTCTAAAAACAGAAAACAGTCTGAACATGTTTCTGTTTCATGTTTCTACCAGAACGTGTTGTTTCACCTCCATCAGTCTAGAATAGATTATCATAAGATCTTTACATTTTTTTATTCAACATACTTTAGTTTGTCCCCAACAAAAATACAATCAAAAAATTAAGCATTTAATGAAATAAGTCCATATATGTGTGGCTTCTGTTAAGACATTGAAGCATTTCTACTACCAAGTTTCACCTTAGGTTGTATTTTATAGTGCTGTGAAGCTCTTGGACATGTGAGGATGTATCTCTGGTCTTTGATGAGTTTGCAGTTGGAAGTGGAGCGGACAAACGTACAGTCCCTCTGGCCTTTGCTGACCTGGAAAGAAAAAAGCTCTTAATAAAAATTAATAATCAGGAAGCCTTCAAATTTTATTTCAGATGTAAATAATTTTCTGGATGCAGATTGAAAGTTTTCTTTTTATATATAGATCTGGATATTTATTCAATAATGCTGCTTGCAGTGGGTAGATTTTGACTTTGTTTTCTAAAGGGTCCAACTTGCGGTGATGTTTTTTATCCATACCTCGTACATTGGGATGTTCCTGGGCAGCAGAAACACGTAGAGCTTCTGGTTCTGAGCTCTGGAGTTCAGAGGTCCGAGGTACAGCAGGACTTGGCTTGATACCAGATCCTTTCTCTCTATGAACCTCTTAAAGAAGTCCCAGACCAGAGCGAACGCAGAAAGGTCAGAGACCCTCACGACAACATGAGTCTCGGTGATCTTCAGCGGCTCCAGGAAGTTCAGCCCATCATCAGAGGAAACATGAACCACAGACAGCAGGCCTTCACTGGGCAACACTGAGGACAAACACACCAACACACTGATTTCACAGGTAGAATCAAAAGAACTCTGAATCAGACAAGTTCAGTTTCCAGTAACTTACTGTTTGTAGTTTGGCAGTGTGGGAGGTGGAGCCCACACACTGCTTCAGGAGAACAGCTGATGCTGTACAGGGGCCCAGCAGGGGTCTTCCCAGCTGGCTGAAGGATGCTCTCGTCCCATTGGATTATCCTGTAGCACAGTTTGGCCGGCTGGGTCACAACAAACACCAGACCAGTCAAAGTGCACTCGAACACACCCGGACCTGGACATTGGAACCTGTAACATGTAACAGACAAAGTGACTCCATGAACACAACAATGAACCAAAGCTGGGTTTGACCCAATAATCACCAATAATTGGTGATTATATATTATCTATGTTAATATCAAATATATTCAGAATTGTTTTGAGTGAAAATATCAACATTGTTGTTTACCTGTATGAAACCTGCAAATTGTGAGTTTCCACTTCGGGTCTGAAGCTTGATGGAGCCTGAAATTTACAAACATCAACTATTTTCTATTGAAATATAAAGTTATCAAACACAAAAACTGAGCCCAATGTTTGTCCTGTGTCTGTGTGTGTGGGTTGTCCAGTGTTTGGTGTGGTCAGAGGGCAGCTGTGACTACAATCCAGTAGCTCACCACTGTGACTGACTGAATGAAGTGAGAAGCTTTGGAATCCTCTGGACTGGAACAATATACAAGTACAGTACATTTATCATTAGATGTTTATCTTCGCTTTCACATCTTTGGAACTGAAGTAGTAGTGTGGGTCCAATTGTTTACAACCTTTTGAGTCATTTTAATACCCCTTTTTTACTTTGAAATTTCCAATCCATTGGTGCCACTGAAATTGATTTGAATTCTTTGAAATGTGGAATTATCCCTGTCTCAGATTGATAATTGTTTTTTGTTTTTTGCTAGATGCTTTTAAGTGGCGACACTCACCTCGACCAACTCTGAGTCATCATGAAAAAGTACAGAATGGGATGATGTGCATGGAGATCCTCTCTGCATATCCAAAAGTTTGGGCTTTAAATCCTGAGACAATCAAATTTTAGAGCTTAGTAATAAATAGTTCAAAAGTATGACATAAGAAATCATGTAAACTAGTTCTGTCACTACAATGTGTTTTTCAACACGAGGAAATGGTGTACTCAACTTGACAGAAAGACACTGAGGACCCAGGAAACCAGAACCCAAACCCAGGATAGATGGGTTCAGAGAATGTGGTTCTGAAGGTGTGGAGGTGGATCAGTGAGCCAGAGGAGACTCTGTAGAAGGACAGGATGCCAGCAGGACAGTCCACATACACTGCTACTCTGTTAGAGGCGAAGCCAGAGTCAGAGGAGTCAGAGTCTGAATTAGAGGGGCTGGAGTCAACGGTACAGGAGGCGGGGTCAGTGTGAGAGGAGGCGGCGAGTTTTCCTCTGTTATTGTGCCAGACAGAGTAACCATCACCAAGATCGCAGCATTTCAGACTCCAGGACTGGTCATTCCAGCCAAACACACAGTCTCTGTATCCCCTCCTGCTGATCCCTCTGTAGCTCACTGAAACGTAAACCACTCCGCTCCACTCCACCTCCCAGTAGCAGCGACCAGTCAGACCTTCACTGCACAGCAGCTGAGGCCACCGGCCGTCAAACCTGTCTGGCTGATCCGGGTATGACTGAGCCGTGCTCACACGGGTCACCTTTCTGCTGTTATCAGACAGCTTCAGGTTTCTGTGAACTGTGTTTGAGTCAAAGGTGAGACTGCAGGAATCTGAAGGAAAGAACAAACACAATTCAGCTCCATGCATAAAGACACTCAAAAAGTGAAAGATATTAAAGGGCATAGTCTCACAGATTTAGAAAATATTAGAAACTTTTTGAACTAAAGAACAGAGTCCAAAACAATGTAAGACTTAATTAATTATGAAAAGGACATGCACATATATCAGAGATACTCAAATACAAATAATTTTACCACAAGCCAAAGGTTTATTTCTTAGTTCGTCAAACCAGCTGCAGATAAATGTAATTTCTATTTTGAAATCCATTCTAATACCGTGCCACAAAATGCAGATAAGATTGCCCCCTGAAACTTCAGAAATAATGAATTGAACTTGACTGCAGATGGATGGATGGATGGACTGGTCTGATCTGGGGGATGGGGGGAAGGCTCCGAGGTGGACAGGAAGATGGTAATCTTGAACGCTACACTATCTTGAGCTGGAGATTTCAAGGAGCTGCTCTTCATTCAACCTGTTGATGGTGGATCCAGCATTTGACAAGTAGGAGTAGTACAGTTTATTTATACGACAACAGCTCACATGTTGTTGGTAATTTACAATAAATAAATAAATAAATAAATGGTGAGTCCAATTATTTCCATTCCAGCTGATCCTAGTGTCCAACTGGAGTCAAGTTCAGATAATTATTTCTGAAGTTTCTAAGGAAATCCAGCAGATTCCAGCATTCACTCGTCCTGGCCAGCAGGGGACGACAATCTTATCTGCATTTTTTGGAGAGGTAGTAGTCCAGCCTTTACCAGGGGTCCCAGCATAGACATTTAAATATTTATATTATATTATGTTAATATATTCAACTAGACATTTAACCGGTGATTGTTAGCGTAGCAGCTAACGTTTTCATACTGTGTTTTATATTGAGAGAGAACTGATGAAAAACCGCTGTTAGAGGGGAAGTTCATTAAAGACCAGGGGATTTTGTGGGGAAAGATCAGTCAGGATCAGAACTCTAGCTGCTGTTCTTCAGTCTCTGTTTCACAGCTCAGCTTCACCGTGTCGGTATTTAGTTCTAAAGATGCTACGAGTCAGAGCCCCAACATGCTGAAAATGTCTTTTTTCTGAATGTGAAAGAAACATATATGTATTTTCTATTACACTTTTGGATAATTTATCTTTTATCCTTGGTTTCAGCCTGTGAACTAGGACATCTCAGAAGTCATTGGAGTTCTCCCAATGTGACCAGCAGACTGAAGCCCTGCCTGTGGCCAGTGTTCCTAGTATAATAAATAAATGTTTTTTTTCCCTTCACTTTTTGTGAATTTTAAATATCTCAATCTGAAGATGAAACCAGGTGGCTGAGCCTCATAGAAATATGCAGCCCTTCCAAGGCCACACGGGGAAAGCCAATTCAGATACAGAATGTCTTAGGTTGGGAAGATT